GACCGGTGCCCGAGATGGAGGGAGGTGGTGTAGTGAGGAGATGGGGTGGATGAGGTGTCATGGGGTGGTGTAAATAATTAATATATATTATATTATAATTTAATATTTAATAAATTTATTTAGCACCTGATTTTTGAAATATTTTAAGAAGTTTGTTATTTAACACCCTTTAGTTAAACAAGCTCTTAGCCCAAAAGTTTACCGTCCAGAAGCCCATGAAAATCTCTAGCATTACCCAGTCCATTTAATAGACCCAAATATTCCAGAGCCCAACTAATCTAGAAAAGATCTTCAATCTCTGGTGAATTTTGCAAGTCCCCGACTCCCCACGAAATCGAAACCCGGACACTCCGCAACTTTACCAAAATCCGACCCATTTGTACTTGTTCAGTAACTCCTGATCCTACAAAATTCACTAAATATGAAGAGAGAAATTACAACAATAATAATAGCCCTAAAGATGAAAATTAGGTCTATACAATTCTAACTTTCGATTATGAATTAACTTGTAAAGAAGAATTTATAATTTATAGGAGAACATGTACCATAATAATAGCCCTAAAGATGAAAATTAGGTTAAAAAATGGAAGGAATAACAAAACAAAGAAAATAATAAACAATCGCAGCGCTCTAGCACTAGGCTTTTTGCACTCAGGCAAGTGTTAGAATTCTTCTGAAAATTCTGCCCTATCGCTGGAGCGATAGGCGGGCGTGAAGCTAGCGCCGTCAAATCCTATTTTCCTCCTTGAACCCTATTTTTACATCTTCAAAGCCCAAGACACCAAACCACGCAACCCTAGCTAGAATTTGGGCCACAAACCCAACACATTGGCTAGATAGTCTTCGTATTGTGTGTATGGGTGGGGGGTTGTGCAAAGTCTTCAAGGTTAATAGAATACTTCATTTTTTAGTGTTATTTCTTGAAGTTGCAGGCTAACAAACACAGTGGTGATAATGTTATTTCACTAGAAAAAGTAGTTTGTCGGTGTAACTATTAGTATTCTATTGTTATCTTTTCCTTCCGGTGTGATAATTCTCTAAATTCTTATTCTTTTACTTGATCATATACTTCATTATTATTTGTCATATAACTTCAACATCTCAATCCGATGTTAGTTTTACAGCAAAAATCTTGTTAGATCTCTAATAATACAAGCCATCCACAGAGTATCAATCACTAAAATCCCAGTAGGATTCAGAGAAGAAATTAACATCTCACCCATTTTTTGGAGCAAAGTAGAGAATTAAATTCGAGACAGAAACAGATCATAAATGCTGGAATCACTCTTCAATTGGACCACAGAAACAATTTATTGCATTCCAAGGACAAAACTTAATTCATTTTTTCAGTTTTCTTCTAGATTCATATGTACCTCTTTTATGTATTTATATTTATATATATTTGTCAATGCAAAAAGAGAACAAGAGGAATAGAAGAGGATCATAAAATATATATTCGAGAGTAGAGGATTGAGTTCGTCAAATAGCCTTTTAATAAGGGTATACTTGACATTGTTTACTTCATTGCGTCTGAAAGAAGCCTTTCGATAGAATACGACACTTTTTCATCTCAACCATAGAAAAGGGGCCTTCTAAAAGATTTCTCACTTACTCGAATTATTTTTAAGTTAGAAGATTATTTAATTTGTCATATTAACAACTTTCCAGTTTTGTAAGGAATTTAAATATAAATAAGGCTGGTATTTCTGAATAATATACACATTAATTTAAAATATTCCGTATAACTGAAAGTCTTCCTAAATTTCTTTCCCAAATTGACGCAGAACGAAAGTTCTAGATTTACAAACGTAAACCCAAACGAGAGAAAATTGTAATTCACAAGAAAAATAATAGCCTCCAAAATTCAATGATATTTATTCAGAAAACAAGAGTCTTTAAATAGTCTATAGAAACCTAATTTAAGCAAAAGACCAAAATAGATTTTGGCTAAGTATAGTGGGGGTCGACGGCCTTGTAGTGGTTGACGGCCTATGTGAATGTAGAGGGCCTCATGGGGGCCAACGACCTCATAGTGGTAGACGGCCTAAGTGAACGTAGAGGGCCTCATGGGGGTCGACGTCCTCATAGTGGTAGATGGCATATGTTGTAGTGCTCGACATGATGGTGCATATTAAGTAGTCGGCCATCGTGGAGAATTGTTAACACCATCTTATATCACTAACCCCTCTGCCTCTTGTCGATATTTATTAATGAAAGGTAGCCTTTTCTGACGCGGAATGGAAGTTCTAGGTTTACAACCGTAAACCCTAATTTAAGCAAAAGACCAAAATAGACATCCACTAAATCAAAGCAACTAAAAAGGGAAAAATAAAAAATAACGCTAAAACTTTGACTGCCTGGTAGCACGCCTTAAACTGGGAATTTGAGGCTGGAACGACGTTAACCAGGGAAACCTGGGTTTGGACGGTATGGAGCGCAGAGAGACGTTTCCGAAAATATATTATAATAAAAAATTTGACACCGGTACAAAAAATTATGCCCGTTTCTTCGGAACAATTCTTTTAGCTAATTTTCGATCCAATTCTTCTTCAAACTCTAACGTCAATTGTCCTACATCACAAATTCTTATATTCTCTTTCCTCTCTCTTCTCTATAGCTGAATCTACGTCCATTGCTGAATTTAACTACCTTATGTGGCGAATTAATTTCCAATTGTAGTAATTTCTTAGTTCTAAAGAGAAAATCAAGATATATAAAGGTTGCAGGTTTCCATATATGGTAAAAGTGCAGCAGAGTTTATCGGATCCAAGAATAAACCCTGTTTTTAATGGTTTAACTAATCCACTTTCATCATTTTCTGCTCCCACTCTCATATTCCATCATTTGGGTGGTTAAATTATAGAAATAAATAAAGGGGAATTTACAAAAATGGCTAATTTCATGCTTGTCGATTAAAAAGTGTCTAATTTTGACAATTCTTGCAAAAATTGCCAAATTTAGTACTAAATCGTCTATTATATCCTTAATTAAAAATGAAGTAATTTTTTTCAATTTGTCACGAATTTCGAGAAGAAAAAATAACTTCCATAAGAAGATACAATAAAATGGTATTCTCGATATTTTAAAAGTTGTTATCGATGTTTGAACCATATCTATCTTGACATTTCATTCATCTAGAACGAAATTTCATTTTAAACATGAGAGTTCTTTACATTTCATAAAGTTTTTGACATTTGAAATATAATTTTCGATATTTTATACATGTGTCAATGAGAAATATAGCATTTATTGTGATTTGATGTTTACTTTTGAAATAAGTATGGTAGGTTATGTGTCAAAATTTTACTGGCCAACAAATTATTTAATTGTATGCATATTTTTGTTTTTAGTGTTGAATTATAAGTCATTTATGAGGGTATTTTGGTATAAAATATTGAAAAATAGACATCGAACAAATTTTGGGCATTTTTACAAATGACCATGTGAAAGTGGACATTTATTGTAATTTCCTCATAAATAAATAAAGAAGAAAAAATGGAACTGTCATGAAATTTCAGTTCTCAAGCAGGAACCGAGAACATGAAGGAACTGAATGTTAGGAAAATACAAATGGAAATTAGGAATATTACTAGAATTATAAAATAATAGAGAGAAACGTTACAATAAACAGAGTAATAGTAAAAGAGAGAAAATTTGATTGTTGATGTAATAGCGGTATAAAAAAGAATTGGGTTTGTATTACGCACTATTACTTTAAAACAAATTCGTCATCAATTGTGGTACAAGAGGACTCATGATATCTGCTGTTTTCCGAAGAACACAAAAGCAGGATTGACCTGCTTTATTAAATAAAGAATATAGAAGATGATTAAGATTTTAGTAAATTCCTTTTTTAGGATACTCCCCGTGCTTCGGGAACAGATCCAATGGAGACAGTTGGAATATAGATTTAACAAATTGGAGAAAAAATGCAGTTCTTTATCATTGAAAAACCTGATTCCAAGTGGAATCTACATAAGAAAGCAAATTTTACAGTTGGGAATCCGTTCAATGGGATAGCTGAAGACGAGAACGTCATATAGACATGAAGATAATATCAAACTCTGTTATAGTAGCCCCATTTATTTCTGAAGCGAATGACATATGGAGGGGATGCTTACAGAACTTTTAAGTACAGAAAAGAATGGAGAATAAGATACCAGAGCCGCTCGAAACAAATCCAAAATGCACATTCACACTAGCACAAATACTTTGGTCTATTATCTAACTCAGCAAATCCCAATAAGAACTAGGTTGTGATGGCTTGATTGTACTTGATGTAGTCATGGATGTTGAAGGGGCAACTGGAATGGTTGCTGGTGTAGATTCAAAAATTTCCCACTGTGTAGTTATGACAACATCTCCCGAGGATGAGTGCCTGGATTGTTGTTGATTCTGCTGTTGTTTTGGTGAATCTATAAATGAATGTGGAGCTTGTTGCTGTTGCACAGGTGATGACACGCTCCCATTTGAATATCGGTGCACGTGCCCATTTGAATACTTCGGCTGCTGTTGTGGTTGGATAGATGTAGGCGAATGTGCAGGTTCGTGGTATTCATTGCTTGTTGGCTTTGCGTTTTTGATCTTCAAAACATCTAGAGTCTCAACACACTTTTGCACTTTTTTCACCTTCAAAATATATCACAAATTCAAGATAGTTACATGAACCCTCAAATGATATAATCCCAAATTCAAGAACTGCATTATTTTAGCCATAACATAAAATCAAATTTTTTTATACCTGCATTTTCCTCTGTAACTTGACATCACCATCGACTACGATCCCATCCAGTTTAAGCAGTTGATTCATCAATAACTCAATGAGATTTAGTACATCCTTTTTGAAATATTTTAAGAAGTTTGTTATTTAACACCCTTTAGTTAAACAAGCTCTTAGCCCAAAAGTTTACCGTCCAGAAGCCCATGAAAATCTCTAGCATTACCCAGTCCATTTAATAGACCCAAATATTCCAGAGCCTAACTAATCTAGAAAAGATCTTCAATCTCTGGTGAATTTTGCAAGTCCCCGACTCCCCACGAAATCGAAACCCGGACACTCCGCAACTTTACCAAAATCCGACCCATTTGTACTTGTTCAATGACTCCTGATCCTACAAAATTCACTAAATATGAAGGGAGAAATTACAACAATAGCAGTAGCCCTAAAGATGAAAATTAGGTCTATACAATTCTAACTTTCGGATATGAATTAACTTGTAAAGAAGAATTTATAATTTATAGGAGAACATGTACCATAATAATAGCCTTAAAGATGAAAATTAGGGCCTTGTATCGGAGGGATTAAAATCAGATTAAAATTGAAAATATAGCCGTTATTGTTGACTTTTATTAGACGAGTGGAACTCAATAACGGCCATATTTTTAATTTTAATTGGTTTTTAATCCCTCTCGAACGGGGTCTAAGTTAAAAAATGGATGGAATAACAAAAAAAAGAAAATATTAAACAATCGCAACGCTCGAGCACTAGGCTTTTTGCACTCAGGCAAGTGTTAGAATTCTTCTGAAAATTTTGCCCTATCGCTCGAGCGGTAGGCGGGCGTGAAGCTAGTGCCGTCAAATCCTATTTTCCTCCTTGAACCCTATTTTTACGTCTTCAAAGCCCAAGACACCAAACCACACAACCCTAGCTAGAATTTGGGTCACAAACCCAACACATTGGCTAGATAGTCTTCATTTTTTAGTGTTATTTCTTGAAGTTGCAGGCTAACAAACACAGTGGTGATAATGTTATTTCACTAGAAAAAGTAATTTGTTGGTGTAACTATTAGTATTCTATTGTTATCTTTACCTTCCGGTGTGATAATTCTAATATGTGACTTAATTCTTATTCTTTTATTTGATCATATATTTCATTATTATTTGTCATATAACTTCAACATCTCAATTCGGTAGTTAGTTTCACAACAAAAATCTTGTTAGATCTCTAATAATACAAGCCATCCACAGAAGTATCAATCACTAAAATCCCAGTAGGATTCAGAGAAGAAATTAACATCTCACCCATTTTTTGGAGCAAAGTAGAGAATTAAATTCGAGACAGAAACAGATCATAAATGCTGGAATCACTCTTCAATTGGACCACAGAAACAATTTATTGCATTCCAAGGACAAAACTTAATTCATTTTTTCAGTTTTCTTCTAGAATCATATGTACCTCTTTTATGTATTTATATATAGAGAAATGATCTAATGAGCACCGGTGCTCATCTTATCCTAAACACCGATGAGTTGACACATTAATTCATTGGTGGATTGGAACTCACAAAATCTTTATCTACCAATGAATTAATGTGCCAACTCATCGGTGTTTAGGATAAGATGAGCACCGGTGCTCATTAGATCATTTCTGTTTATATATATTTATCAATGCAAAAGGAGAACAAGAGGAATAGAAGAGGATCATAAAATATATATGCCTAGGGTTCATCAAATAGCCTTCCAATAAGGGTATACTCGACATTTTTTACTTCATCGCGTCTGAAAGAGACCTTTCGAAAGAATATGACACTTTTTCATCTCAACCATAGAAAAGGGGCCTTCTAAAAGATTTCTCACTCACACGAATTATTTTGAAGTTAGAAGATTATTTAATTTGTCATATTAACAACGTTCCAGTTTTGTAAGGAATTTAAATATAAATAAAGCTGGTATTTCTGAATAATATACACATTAATTTAAAATATTCAGTATAACTGAAAGTCTTCCTAAATTTCTTTCCCAAATTGACGCAGAACGGAAGTTCTAAGTTTACAAACTTAAACCCAAATGAGAGAAAATTGTAATTCACAAGAAAAATAACAGCCTCAAAAATTCAATGATGTTTATTCAGAAAACAAGAACCTTTAAATAGTCTATGGAAACCTAATTTAAACAAAAGACCAAAATAGGCATTCACTAAATCAAAGCAACTAAAATCGAAAAAATCAAAAATAACGCTAAGGCCCCGTTCGGGAGGGATTAAAAGCCAATTAAAATTGAAAATATAGCCGTTATTGGGCCCCACTCATCTAATAAAAGTCAACAATAACGGCTATATTTTCAATTTTAATCTGATTTTAATCTCTCCCACACAAGCCCTTAATATGACCTATCATTTAATGTCACATTAACGCCACATAAATCTTTGACTGCCTGGTAGCACGCCTTAAACAGCGAATTTGAGGCTGGAACGACGTCAACCAGGGCAACCCGGGTTGGGATGGTATGGAGCGCTGAGAGACGTTTTCGAAAACATATTATAATAAAAAAATCTGACACCGGTGCAAAAAATTATGTTCGTTTCTTTGGAACAATTCTTTTAGCCAATTTTCGATCTAATTCTTCTTCAAACTTTAACGTCAATTGTCCTACGTCACAAATTCTTATATTCTCTTTCCTCTCTCTTCTCTATAGCTGAATCTGCGTCCATTGCTGAATTTAACTACCTTATGTAGCGAATTAATTTCCAATTGTAGTAATTTCTTAGTTCTGAAGAGAAAATCAAGATATTTAAAGGCTGCAGGTTTCCATATATGGTAAAAGTGCAGCAGAGTTTATCGGATCCAAGAATAAACCCTGTTTTCAATGGTTTAACTAATCCACTTTCATCATTTTCTGCTCCCACTCTCATATTCCATCATTTGGGTGGTTAAATTATAGAAATAAATAAAGGGAAATTTACAAAAATGGCTAATTCCATGCTTGCCGATTAAAAAGTGTCTAATTTTGCTAACTCTTACAAAAGTAGTCAAATTTAGTACAAAATTGTCTATCATACCCTTAATGAAAATTGAAATAATTTTTTTCAATTTGTCACGAATTTCGAGAAGGGAAAATAACTTCCATAAGAAGATACAATCAAATGGTATTCTCGATATTTTAAAAGTTGTTATCGATATTTGGACATATCTATCTTGATACTTCATTTATCTAGAACGAAATTTCATTTTAAACATGAAAGTTCTTTACATTTCATAAAATTTTTGACATTTGAAATGTAATTCTCGATATTTTATACATGGGTCAATGAGAAATATAGCATTTATTGTGATTTGATGTTTACTTTTGAAATAAGTAAGGTAGATTATGTGTCAGAATTTTACTGGCCAATAAAATATTTAATTGTATGCATATTTTTGTTTTTAGTGTTGAATTATAAGTTATCAACGAGTATTTTGGTCTAAAATATTGCAAAATAGACATCGAACAAATTTTGGACATTTTTACAAATGACCATGTGAAAGTGGACATTTATTGTAATTTCCTCATAAATAAATAAACAAGAAAAAATGGAACTCGTGAAATTTCAGTTCTCAAGCAGGGAACCGAGAACAGGAAGGAACTGAATGTTAGGAAAATACAAATGGAAATTAGGAATATTACTAGAATTATAAAATAATAGAAAGAAACGTTACAATAAACAGAGTATCAGTAAAAGAGATAAATTTTGATTGTTGATGTAATAGCGGTATAAAAAAGAATTGGGTCTGTATTACACACTATTACTTTAAAAAAAAATCATCATCCATTGTGATACAAGAGGACTGATGACATATGTCTCATACGACACAATGGTTGAAAGTAGCTGATTAGCACATCGTCACTACTTTTAAACGAACTAAGAATGCTCAGAATTCTATTACCGAACTAGAAAATAATTATATATGCTACAAAGAACAAAATAGGGATTGCAAAATAAACTCAACAAACCCGATACCCGAGGGGCCCCTCCCCGCCTTGCCTTAAACTGGTGGGCGGGGAATTTCCCTGCCCCGGCCCGCCCTGTCTCGCCTCGTTGCTATCCCTAGAACAAAAGTTACAAAACTCTTCTAAACAAAGAGAGGAAACAGAAAATTAGAGAGATGAGAGAGTTCTCAAAGGTTTTTATTTTTTAAGGAATAAGGAGGAGAACACCTCCAGTACTATAATGAGGGAGGTTTCAATTCTTAATAATTTTGTATTAAAACCAAAATATTACAATAGTCATTAGAGCAATACATTACAATAGCCATCAAGGCTTTGTAATCATCAAATCAATACAAAATTAATTAGAGAATTGAAATTTGAAATCAAAAGCTTGTCGTTACTATTCTTCATTCACAAATTTTTTATTTTGATTTTTTTCCAACGTTGAACTGTCTGATTATCGACATTAAAGAACCAAGATGGATTGGTTCGGTTCCGAGAATTTTTGGCCAACCCCAACTGAAATCATCCTCATTCATGTTTTCTTTATTCTTCTTTATCCCCAGTAGGAAGCAAAGTACAAAAACTAATCATATGCCTCAACATCTGCTTTTTTTCGAAGAACACAAAAGCAGGATTGACCTGCTTTATTAAATAAAGAATATAGAAGATGATTAAGATTTTAGTAAATTCCTTTTTTAGGATACTCCCCGTGCTTGGGGAACAGATCCAATGGAGACAGTTGGAATATAGATTTAACAAATTGGAGAAAAAAATGCAGTTCTTTATCATTGAAAAACCCGATTCCAAGTGGAAGTCTACATAAGAAAGCAAATTTTACAGTTGGGAATCCGTTCAATGGGATAGCTGAAGACGAGAACGTCATATAGACACGAAGATAATATCAAACTCTGTTATAGTAGCCCCATTTATTTCTGAAGTGAATGATATATGGAGGGGATGCTTACAGAACTTTAAGTACAGAAAAGAATGGAGAATAGATACCAGAGCAGCTCCAAACAAATCCAAAATGAACATTCACACTAGCACAAATACTTTGGTCTATTATCTAACTCAGCAAATCCCAATAAGAACTAGGTTGTGATGGCTTGATTGTACTTGATGTAGTCATGGATGTTGAAGGGGCAACTGGAATGGTTGCTGGTATAGATTCAAAAATTTCCCACTGTGTAGTTATGACAACATCTCCCGAGGACGAGTGCCTGTATTGTTGTTTATTCTGCTGTTGTTTTGGTGAATCTATAAATGAATGTGGAGCTTGCTGCTGTTGCACAGGTGATGACACGCTCCCATTTGAATATCGGTGCACGTGCCCATTTGAATACTTCGGCTGCTGTTGTGGTTGGACAGATGTAGGCGAATGTTCAGGTTCGTGGTATTCATTGCTTGTTGGCTTTGCGTTTTTAATCTTCAAAACATCTAGAGTCTCAACACACTTTTGCACTTTTTTCACCTTCGAAATATATCACAAATTCAAGATAGTTACAGGAACCCTCAAATGATATAATCCCAAATTCAAGAACTGCATTATTTTAGCCATAACAAAAAATCAAATTTTTTTATACCTGCATTTTCCTCTGTAACTTGACATCACCATCGACTACGATCCCATCCAGTTTAAGCAGTTGATTCATCAGTAACTCAATGAGATTTAGTACATCCTCCCATCCAGTTTAAGCAGTTGATTCATCAATAGCTCAATGAGATTTAGTACATCCTTCTCAGCCACTTTTCTACCTTTAGAAATTATGGATTCAAGCTCCGAAACCTACACAGTTTCAACAACACATCAGTTCACTGCATATAATCATCATTCTATCCAGCCTTTAGTTATAAAATTGCTCATTTATTCAATAGCATACCAGGAAATGAGAATGTATCCCAATAAGTGGGATTAATGTCCAATTTAGGATAAATTAAGGAAATAATACTTGGGTAGTTAGGGCATGTTTTTTTTTCTTTTTTGGTTGACGTAGGAAACCCGCAACCACTATCCGCCAACGGAGGCCCGACCACTGTGAATGGGCACTAGATAAACTCCGCTCCATGTGCAATATAGCCCACAAACCACACAAGAGAGATAAACAGCACTAGGCAAGCCCGGTTCGAAGGGCTCGACCGAGAAAGTGTTGGTAGAAGATTCGAACTCATGACCTTTGATCTTCGTGTTCATCTGCTCTACCAACTCGGCCACCCTCGAAGGGGTTAGTTAGGGCATGTCTTGCATAAACTTAAAGTGGTTCTTGTTTATAAGAGTAACACATCTTAGTAGAGCATTGTACATGGTAATTGTTAATGGTGTAATTGCTTTAGATCTATAAATCATGTAGCCACACTCTATATTTATTACAAAAAAGACTTTAGTTTGGTAGTATGCTTACCTGTGCAGCAAGTTTATCAACCTCCAAGCCGATTTCAGATATTGATTTTGCAGCCCTTTCCATTTTAGCATTTTTCTTCATCTCGATGTACCTCTTCTCTTGGCTAATTGGATCCTCTACTAACACGATCTTAGATTTATCCTTCACTCCTACAGTGTCAAGAAAAACTTTAGAGTCCCTCTCTTTATCCTTGTAAAATAGCTTCTGATCTTGGTGATGCAACCCTGTAGGCCCTGTTAACATCTTCTTCAACTCCCCTAAATTGCCAAAAACCAAAATAAAACATCAATTACCATAAATTAAAAACCGAAAATATTTGGAGGGAAAATATTTCTTCCCTACGACAATTGTGTATTGTTGAACGGCATCGTCCAAAAACTTAAGGATACATATTCATTTAAACCTTTTCTTGAACTAATACCTCATATGTGGACAGAATTCATTTTTAAGGTACGGCATGGGCACCATTTGTGGCATGCCGAACCGAACCATCTTGTTTAAAAACATTAAGCTTTTCAAACCCTGAGGCATATGCATTTACATAAATCTTGTCTTCTAACAGATATTTGTATTGATAGGTGGCATTTGTTATTGAGACTTACCAAATGTAGCCTGAGAGCTGATGTAGATATCGTGGTAATTTGACCCGTATTTCACGCGGACACGAATAGTGGGAGGTGGAGCGTGGATTTGGTCCTCGTCGGTGCGTTTTTGAACCAGCATTCCGCCGGGCCTCAGCTCCCATTCATTCGGATTGCTGGCGGTGGCGGCGGAGCCACCGTTCATACGTGGAACCCCATTAGTTTGAGTCTTCATTCTCATCATTTTGATTATCCGGTACTAACACCCAACTGAATTGCTGCCGACAGTTGAATTTGAGGCGATTTGAACTCAGATTAAAGCATTGAATATGAATTGATCTAAAGTAGAATCACACAGAATCCCATCTCAACAAAAACACTCACGAAGAATCTGAACCTCTATATACTATACTTCGTCGGAAAGGGTTGCCGGCCGGTGATCTGCCGGAGAGTTGAATGAGCTTCAGATCTCTTTTAAAAGGCCCGAAATGTAGAAAAACTCAATTGTAGTTCGAAATCTGCAAATCCTGAAACTTCCAATTAGCCCGGAAGAAGTTAGACACAGAAATTAAGGCTTATGCAGAAGAAAAATATGGCAGGTAAAAAAAATTGTATGGAGAGCGAACAGTATAGAACTGAACCTTGAGCACAGAATACAAAGATATATAAATTCTTAATATTTAAATAAATTATGGCTAATGATTGGGTTGTTTTGTTGTAATTAAGAAACTACCAAACACTACCGCCATAGCTTGTGCTGAAAATTACTGGACACGATTACATTTGGAGGAAGAAGTGAAATTTATTTATAAATAATTTTGCTTTTTAATTTTTACATTTTTTTTAGTTGATTAAAGCTTGTTTGGGAAGTATATATACACCCTTTTTTATCCACATTATTTTTTTCATTCTCATTTTTCTATTCATTTTTAACCACACATTCTTCAATAAAATAATATTTTTCATCACATCAATAATTTTTCCTTAATTTTCAACCACATATTCCTCATCACATCGACAGTAATAATGCATTCTTTTTCCAAAAATGTGCACCAATCGGGGGCATAAAGTAGTTAATTTAAAAATTGATAAAAATAAGTGATAAATAAATAGATAGTACCCCTAGATTTCATGAAATTTGTGATAATAAAATATAGTTGATCATTTATTCACTACTTATAAACATTAGCCAAACACACAAAGTTGTTTTCTTTCTTAATTATTGTTTTAAAATTAAAAAAATATTATTTTGACAAATAAGAGGATTCAGATATTTTTCGTTAATCTGACAAACTGCGAATCTATATCTCGTTGAGCAGCGGCTTTCCTCGTACCTTTGCTTTTAAACAGCCTCGTATACTTTGTTATTGTTAACAATCTTCTCTTAGTTCTTACCATTTAGCATCTCTTTCTGTCTAATTCGGCCTTCGTTTCTCTTTGTTTTTCAATAATCTCTTTTTCCTCGCATTCATTTAAAGTTAGTGTGACGTTTTTATAATTTTAGCATTCTCTTCACATATTTATCAACTAAACTACTTAGTCATACAATATAATCAAATATATATTTAAAAAAATTTAATCAAGTAATATGTGTGTGTACACTTCTAGTAAACTTTAGCACACCCTTATAGAATAAAGAGTTTATTAGGAAAGCATCTTCAACCTAACACTCCACGCAAGCCACATTTTGATTTTTTGCTTTCCTAAGTACGGCCTATGCTGAGGGCACATTCCGTGCCTGTGGGTTTTCAAAAATATAATGAATTAAATAATGTCACGTGACACTTTATTATTTTTCAGTTTAAAATAAAATTAATGTTTTTTTTCCACATTATATTATATAATTTTTTATGTATAATTTTGATTAAAAATTCAATAGAAATTCAGGTATATTAGGTGAGGGTGTTTTGGGAATTTACTGCGGATAATCATTGTGTAGTTAATTATAGATGCAAGCAGTGGACAGTGAAAATGTGTTCTTTTACAGTGGGAAATAGCCAGTGCTCGAAGCCGGTTCACATGCTTTTGTCACACATCCAGCAGCCTTTACTTCTTGTAACCTGAATCTAATCATTTACTTTACTGTTTGTTAAATTTGAAGGGTAGATTGGTCAACTTTTCTACTTCCTCAATTATTTTTATTTTTATTTATTTGTGAAACTCGAGAAAGTAAATCAAAAAATAATATAATATAAAGTACAATTCACCTTTTCTTTAATGCAAATTTTTATTTTTAGTTGAGGGAGAGCAATGTTGTAATTTATTATTTGAGGGCAAGAATGGAAAAACAATTTTCAACGCTATAGACACCGTTAGAAGAATTTGATGGGCGTCGGGTGAAACAGTAATTTTAAATTCATATAATAGCGTTTCAAAAAATGAAATCAATTTAAAATGAGAAATTAAAGGACGTTAGACGGAGGTTCAGAGAGCCACAACTTCAATAAAATAAAGTTAAAAATGAGAGTTATTAAAATTTAAAATTAGTACAATTTATTTTAATTGCGAAATCAACGGTATACAAATGAAATATAAGGTAAAATATTATACGTCTATATTGTCGTGTCGTGAATTAAACATGCATTTATTGTTTCGGTTGGTTTTATTAGAAAACAAGTTTTAAATAAAGCGAAGTGTGGTTGTCCGGGTCCCACTATTTTAGTAAGAAATAAAGGGTCATATCTTAACAGCTGTATACAATATTGTTTAAGCTAACAGAATAAAAGATTCTAGATAGACAGCAAATTCAATTCTTATATGTATTATTTTATTTATACTTGAGTGTTTGTTAATTGCAAAATGGTTCGAATTTATCTTGTATTTGTTCCTCATTTTTTTGAAAAACTCATTTTTTATTTATTTATTTTCAATCATACATTCTTTCATAAAATAATATTACATGTAAATTAAAAAAAAATTCTTATTTTTTTTAATCATACATTCTTCAATAAATCAATATTCCAAAATACATTTTCATATAAAAATGGGGCTCAAACATGTACTTAACGTATGCGAGTCATGTGGTCATTCTCGCAATGCTCTCTTGAAAACTATATTGCTTTCAGTTCCTCGATGCCAAGGTAATTATATATTTAGCCCTTGTTTAACGGAGATTAAAATCAGATTTTTAATACAGATGGCAACACACCATTCTCCAGTTTAAAAGAAGAAAAGTTGTTTTCCCACCTATTTCTTTTTGGAAACGCAAATAAGCATTATTCTAAAAATTATTTGACTTTTATAGTAAATTTTTGTAAACATGTCAGAGAGGATGCAAGTTGGAGAGTAAAATCCACGCATGAGTTACATAACATTTTATTCGAGTTGGACACGTGAGAGATGCATAAAATATTTGTTATAATGAAGTGATGATAATTAATTTACTTGCTTTCATAGTTGAACTCGTGAGGATTTTGTAAAAATTTAGTCGAGACTCAATAATTTTACGAGTAATGGCCATTTTTTTTTTTTCAAAATGGGATTGCACGAGCTAGTTCAATCGAAAAATAAAGAGCTGGTTCAATTATATGATAAAAATAAAAAAAATAGAACTTGTTCATGTAACCTTCAAATCATTCAGCTCAAATCCAAAATCGATCAATTTACCATCCTAAATTTTGTTTTTATTTACTATTTCCACTTCGATTCCTATACGAGTCTTTGACTCTTGAACTTATCTTTTTCGTGAGTCGAAGATCAAGCTAATATGTATAACATTGGTAATGAAGTGGGAAAAATTTCCCTTATTTTAGGTTTGAAAGATTGCCTTACCAAGTGTTGATAGTCATTCAACATTCAATCATGCTATGCTGTCATGGAGGGTTTCACATCCTTCTTGTAGCACATTTAAAATAAAATTAAGTTGAATGAACATAATACTTGATATAGGGGTTGATCGATTCCTCACATTGCATGTGGGTCCCTACTTGAATTAAAATATGTCAACATCCCCCATGTATGTGTGTGTTGTCATTCTCTATATCAAATATTATATTTGTGTAACAAAACTCTTTATAATAGGGGGTGGGGTAGATTTTTTGGCATTTTTTATTCACGCGAATTTCACACAGATCTCACGCGCATGCGAGTATAGGTTAATCAAGGGACAAATTACTTCGGGCAATTAGCTTAATTTTTCAACATTTCATACGCAAAAACAGCAATAAATTATAGACAGCGCGTGTCCAACCAAACAAAGAATTGATGCTTACGTCATATATTTCTACCTCCATGTGTCAGTTTAATGTCCCCAACAGCTTCCCTATCCACGTCAGTTGCTGTCTGTACCATTTTCTCTCCCTTCGAAGCAAAACAACATCCCACCGACACTTTCAGACCACGAGTTAACCCACTAGACACGTGTCAGTTTCTAGACCGTCTAATGGGATAAAAATTCTTTGCAGTCTTACTCCGACAGAGAAGGTACAACCCACTTTTGTATGAATAAAGAAAATAGTTGAGGCCCTTTGGTGCAATTAGAGTGGTCTTCATGTTGACAATTATTATCATTATTTTATTTGGACAATAATATATTTTTTTTTTTCAAAATTTCTCATGCATTTGATTTGACAACGAGACAGTGTACCGACAGTTTGCACAATAAAATTAGAATATACAATAATTGTTTTATGTCAAGTGGTTTATGTAAATTCTGTGGGATACCCTTTGACATTCATACCCCATTTTTTGATAACTTTTTGTTTTGTTTGGAAATTTGTTGGCCTAGCTAGTGTTATAAGCGACAAGAGTGGAAAATGGGTGTCGATTTTTGGCCCAACCATCTAAAGATATTTGTCATACCGAGTTAGTTACAGAAGGAAAAATAGGTAATAGAAAAAGGACCGAGCTGCTGTGCCAGGTCGGTAAAAGACCTGGCACAGCCATGTGAGATGGGGTGGGTGGGTGTTTTAACATTTTTGGGGGTTTTTTTTAATGAGTTAGGTCCTCGGGACCCACCTCATGTGAGATAGTCTGTACAAAATCTGTGAACCAAAATCTGGTAGAGTAGAATAAT